AAAAAAAAAAAGACAACAACAACAACTTTGCAGGCGAAGAACCCCTTCCCTGGCTTCGCGGAACTCAGAGCTTTGTCTATGGTTAAGGGTGTCGGGGTTTTGGTTCAGGGCTTAGGGTTCGAACGCGGAAGTGTACGGCGTATTTAGGGTTTGTGTTATGTGAGGCTGTAGGGCTTTAGGGTGTACCTGCTGTTGGTGCGTATACGGTTCATAGGGCTCTGTAACTCCCGCAGGGTCGAAACGTCCAGCACCCCTGGACCCTAAACACTAAAACCCTAAACCTTAAGCCCCTAAACGCTAAACCCTAAATCCTAAACCCTTAGGAGAAGGAGTCTGCATAATTCGTGACATTCTTCAGCCGTTCACTTCTATAGTATTTAGGGTTTAGGGTTTAGGGTTTTGAGGGTTTAGGGTTCTATAGTCTGCATATGTCTGCATATCTTTAATTACCATAAATCACAGCATTGCAGTGCTTCAAGAATCCCTTTATAGAACCCTTGTGGGGGCTTTATAGGAACTTTATTGAATTAACAACTTGCAATAAAATCCTTGCAAGACCCTGGTAAAACGCCCATAGAACCCTTGTAGAACCCGCGAAAAACCCTAGTAGCAGTTAGCCTGTGATCCCACTGGCATTTCTGAAATACACAGTACTGTGTACAACATATACAGACTAAGGGTTAGTGTTTAGGGTTTATGGTAGAGTATCGATGCCTGCATATTTACGAATACTGTTCGTTAAGGTTTCCTTTGCCATGCTTGTACGACGATATACCCCCGATCCCACGAAGGCCCCCAAGGTTACTCCAGCATGCCCGGTCAGTGTAAGCCTTACGCTGAACCTTGCAAAGGTTAGGCCTCTGACCGAAGGCGCTACTGGAGACCCTAAACCCTAAGCAGTAAACCGTTTTGGGGTTTGCAATTTAGGGCCTATCTTATTGCCGCACGCTGAGGTAAGACAAAGTGGTTCGCCTGTATGGGCTATCCTGAGGATGTGCCGCCGTAGCTGTGGGGACTTCGATGCCTCGCGAGTCCGCATGCGAACTTCGTAGCGGCCACCTTGCGTTGCAGTGAGGGTACCATAAGGCCATTTCAGGGTCCTATGACGGCCTCTGCCTAAACTTCAGCTTTCGCCCAAGGCCTTCAAGCAGCGACGACCTGAGAACCTGAACAATTCCATCCGAGTAACCCAGAGCTCCGGCACGTTTCGGATTCCAGAAAATTCTGAAAAATACAGTTTAGGGCTTAGGGTTCTTCGGATCCCAGAAAAGTTGAATAATACGGTTTAGGGCTTACGGTTCGGGGTTGCGGGTTGAGGGCCGGATCCTGTGCAAGGTTCTGCAGCAACGTTGCTGTGGAGTTGCTGTGGGAGTTTCCGACCATTAAGGGTACCTCATTCTGGGGTCCTTATAATAAGGATCCTACTGCTATTTGGGGTGCTACATTAGGGTCCCCTATTTTCGGAAACCCCCATATAACCTTTGCTGTGTGTCTGTGCGGGTTCGGGGTTTCTAGGTTTTAGGGCAGCTCAGGGTCAGTATGCCTTTTGGCTCGGGCGTTTGGAGGCAAGCCCATCTCGTATCCAGAAATCGGCTCCAAAGCTACTGTGGAGATTCTCCCAGGTTCTGCTCTCTTCCTCTTGGCACTACTGTTGATGGACAAAATTCTGCATGACCCAAATATTATAGTATAGTACCATAAATCCCATAGTTTAGGTATATACGGTCATGCAGGATTTTGTCCATCAACCGTATCAATTCCTTATTATGGAGCATACCCCGCCAAATACGAACCGCCAGTTTCGGGCAAACCCGATGTCAACTCGTAGACGTGCATGAAGCTGTTTTGTTTCGGCAGGTTGGCGGGATACCGTACTTGCCATGCCGGTGTTCCGATCGATTTAGAGCTTCAGACCGGAGCGAGTTAGACAAGTGCAGTTGATGATATGAATCCTGCATTACCCACAAGAAGGAATAATTATACCATAATTCCCACACTCTAGGGTCCTTAAGGTAATACAGGATTTATATCATAAGCCCTAAACCCGAAACCCTAAACCCTAAACCGGTAATGCAAGTTTTTTAGGGTCTTCAAGGTAATACAGGCTTTGTATCATCAACCGTATGACCCGAGAATGCTGATTCGCTCAAAACGGCAACCGGTCAACCCAAGCAAGCAGGAGAAGAGAACAATTTAAGGTTTAGGATTTAGGGTTTAGGGTTTAGGGTTTCGGGTTTAAGCCCTAACCCTCCAGGTACCTACTCTATGCTCTCGAACCCTATATAGGAGGTACCTGGGGGGTGGGGGAAGTCTGGGAACGCAACCCTAAACCCCTAAACCCTAAACCCTGAACCCTTAACTAACCTGGGACTACAACGATGACCACTTGCCATACGCAGAAGGCAGAATCTCGAAACCCACCGTCAGTGGACATCCGGGGCTGTGAGCACTTGACCTGAGAGCAGTTGGAAAAAAACGCGGTTTAGGGCTAAGGGTTTAGGATTTAGGGTTCAGGGTTTATAAGGGTTTAGGGTTTAGGGTTTAGGGGTTTTGGATTTAGGGTTTATAAGGTACAGGGTTTAGGGCCCTGACGACTCCATTCATTTTAGTTGTGTTGTCTTGGGGTGGCTTGGGGGTCGAAGATCCCAAACCTAAACACAGATCCGAAGCGCCAGACGTGTGAAGATCGGCAGTGGCTTCGTGCGTTCAGCTTTGTAGAGTTTCGGGTTTAGGCTCTTGCTCTTGTATATGGTCGCCACCATCACCGTCATCAGTATAGCAGTACCCAGACCTTCACAAATGCCTGATTTAAGGAATATTCCTACTTAAATTTTGAGTACGATCCCTATATTCCTTAATCTAGACATGTTGGAAGGTCTGGGACTATAGATGTAGCAATCCCCAGCAGCAACCAGCAGTGTCGGAGGACATAGATCAGCGTCGGGGTCCTGTACCCTAAGGGCCCATGTACCTTAAGGGCTTCCTGTAAGCGTGGTGGATACCATAAGGGTTTAGGGATAGTTAGGGTATACAAGCTATCTAGGGCTCCATGTACGTAAACAGTGTATGAAAGTAACCCCTATATTGGAGTTTCCGAAAATAGGGGACCCTAATATAGTACCCTAAATAATAGGATCCTTAATATAAGGACCCCAAAATAAGGTACCCCAATTTTCGGAAACCCCTATATAGGCAATTTGGGGCCAAAGGGATCACGAGGGTTTATTTCCGAGCCATCCTGCGCTATACCTTTTTGGCTCGAGGTGGCAGATGCTAGCATCCATATCTGTGGAATCGAAATTTCGGGAACCCTAAACCCCAAACCCCTAAACCCCTAAACCCCTAAACCCTAAACCCTGAACCCTAAACCCTAAACCCTAAACCCTAAACTTTGGGCCTCAGATCTAGGAGTTGTGTGCTACAGGCTCAGGGTCGAGGGCTTGTTAGGATTTCTGGATACTTCTGGCTTAGGGTTGCTACCGTCTTAGGGCGTAGGGTTTAGGGTTTAGGGTTTTAGGGTTTTAGGGTTTAGGGTTTAGGGTTTAGGAACCGTCAATGTCCAAAGCCCGAACCTCGAATTACCTCAAAGCTCTTCCTCGTAGTGGAGGAACCCTAAACCCTAAACCGACGTAGTAGAGTAGGTAAACTTTAACTGTTTGGGGGTACTCCAAGGTCCTCCCTAAAGTGCACCTTTAGTTCCCCTAGGTCTAGGACATTTTCAGGTGG